ACTGGACTTTTTCAGCAGGCCAGATATATAGAATTGTAATAGTTCCCTGGAAGGATAAGATTTTACGTTTTGATAAGGGGTACCAAAATGTCAGCTCCAAAACAGTACCAATTTTGAGTCCACCATCTGTGTGAGAAACTGTTCATCCTCCATAAGCACAACGAGTTTACATATTATTGGTAGGCATTTATGCTTCTAGTTGATTAGTTTAATTTGATGATTGATATCAGGCTTTCAAGCAAAAGATTGTAGTATTCTCAACAACCAACAAGGTTTTTTTCTGTTTATTTTTATTGTTACTTATTCATTGATTTTACTTTTTGAAGCAGGGTCTTGTGCACCCACATCTGGAATTTGCTATATAGGGAAGATGACTTTGAACTTCTGATCCTCCTGCCTCTACCTCCCCAAAAGAGTTTTGTGTGCTAAGAGTGGTATGTATCAAACCTCCAGTCTAAGCACTTGGGAAGCTGAGGCAGGAGACTTGTTGGGAGTTCAAAGCCAGCCCGTGCAATGGAGTTAAGACCCCATCCTCCAAAAATAAAAATAAGCAATAAATACAAAAATAAATGTAAAAATTAAAAATAACAAAGATTTTAGTAGTGTGTGTTCATTTGGAACTGGGTACAGCATGCACTTCTGCTCCTGTTTTTGCCAGCATGGCTTATTTTTAGTTCTAGGCTCACTGACAGCCCACATCTAAGCTAGAAAGCTCCAGGAGTTTCAGGGTCCTTTGCACAGAAGCAAACTTGAATCCTCAGGCTGGACCCTACCATTATATGCAAAGAAGTTGTCACTGAGTCGGAATGGGCTGTGCCTGAGATGCGGTCCATTTCTTAGACTTGGGAACCTGAGCTAATCTGAGTGATGGTACAGTCTCAGCATCCAGTGCTGGGGAGTGAGCAAGCTTCTGCCTGGAGAACTGTATAAAATGGAAATTCTGTAGAATGGCTAGGAGGGAGTGTCAGGGACTGAGATCTCATTCCAGCTTTAAATACACAATAGGAAGAGGCAAGACAAAGCTCAGAATCTTTATATTCCTTGAGTAGAAACAGCAAGAGGTCATGTAATCCAAATTCCTGTTGTATCCATCTATGAATGAATCCACCCATCCATCTATCTATCCACATGTGCATCCATCCCTCCTGCAATTCAGTATTTTCTGAGTATATCCTATATTACCCAATAGTGATTAAACCCTCCATGTCCAGTGATCTAAGATGCAGGTGAAGACCTGTCCAGTTTCTCTTTATTAGAAGTGCTTAGCTTCCCACTGCCGTTCAGTGGATGGACCCCAGAGAGCACCAACATTCATCTATTAGATAACCACAAGTCTTGACAATCAGAAAGGGCAGGGATGCACAGGGCTTTCTGGAAGCTGACAGTGCATTTTGCAGAGCAAGCACACTTGTTGGTGTTGACTGCGGCCTCCCCACCTCAGGCTCCCAGCATGCCCTGATCCTGACTTGCCACTTGTTTTTTCCCACAGCATTCATCCCTTTCTATTATGCTTCACAGTTTACTCCCTTCTCTTCGTTGTTTATTTTCTGGCTACCCCTCTCCCCTGCCACCACTGGAATATAAACTGGATGAAGTGAGATCTTTGTTTGCCCTCCCTGGGCTGATGCAGCTCCAGGAACTGGGACAGCACCTGGAGTGAGGTCAATACTAACTAAATTACATTCAAGTGTTTGTAAGGAGGTCAATCAAACTGGTGCTCAGGATACAGATAGTAATCAAGTTCTGTAAATATGCTTCTCTGTTCTCACTTTACTGAAGATTGAGAATATGTACTTGCCAATATCCAAATTTAGAAATGAGATTTAAAGTCCCCTAAACTACAAGTTGCTATCGTTACTTAGCTAATATGATAATCTCAATTACTTGCGCATTGTATCAAATGTCTCTTTTTGCCTGGCTCTGCTGCATGAGAGCACCCATGCAAAGAATCCTTTAGTGCAAAGTTTACTATGTTGGCAGTGTTAGGGAATTATAAGCAATGAGGAGGGGTAGAAACTGCTGTTTTCATTCCGTTACCTCATTGAAAACTTTGGGGCAGGGGGCTTGCAAATACAATTGTTTGGGTCACATGAAAACACAGGCAGTTGCTTTCAAAGGAAGTGTCATTTGAAGATGCTACCATTCATTGCTAGTTTTTTTGAACTCTTCCAGCTTCCCACAGAGCATCTATAACCATTCAATTAAGGGTCCTTGTAGCTGAAAGGCAGCAGGGCAGCCCCTGAATGCACAGACAGTATATATACCCAAGTGGTCTTGAGTGCCTGGGGATTCTTTGTAGAGAAAGGCAAGCACATTTTCTTCCCTCACTTCTCCTATTAATAGAATAGAAAGAATCATCCAGGAGTAAAAGGCATGGATTTACCTCTTTCATTTCACTGGGCTGGAATTAAGATTTGGTACCCCAGGGCGATGTCTTGAAAGCTTACAAAAGTTTTGCCATCAGTATAGCAGCAATAGCTGCACAAAAAAAAAAAAAAAAATGTTGTTTGATTTGGAGTCATTGGACACTGTTTACACTGATGTTATTCACAAAAAGAAAACTCTCTCCTTCTTCCATGTGGCTTCCTATGGCCCAAGTATTCATGAAGAGGGTACTTGAGTTATCCTGTGCAGGGACATGTGGGCTGGTTGGTCTGGAGAACAGAGTCTGCCTCCAGGGAATTTTGACTTGACTTTTAGAAGGGGTGAAGTCCACTCTTTCATTGACATATTCCCAATGTGTCTGGCTCTGAAGAAGGAGCTCTAAGGGAGACAGTGAGTCATTCCTTCAAAATCGGTTTGTAGGAACTAGGTCCCTGCTGAGCCTTTCCGCTTTGGGAGGAAACTGGGCTCATTACAGGTGAGAGTGGTCATCCGCTCCTTCCAGGATGTATTTGTTTTTCATTAAACCATTCAGATGAGGTCTTATTAAAGCACCATGTTTTGCTTATCATTGCTTATGAAAATGAGCTAAAGGGAAAATTCTATCCTGTTCTTGGAACATTGTAGGATCTTCCAGTGTCAGACTGGAAAAAAAAAATCCTGGTTGTTCCAACAAATTGACTGAGGCAAAAGAAAGAGATGGGGAAGGGAAAATGAAATTGGAAAGCCTGAATCTCTGGTCTTTCATTCTCTGTGGTTTTTGAAGACGCTTTTCTCTTTGGTTCGAGGAATTTCAAAATAAAAACAAGTAACTCAAAAGACAGAAAGTAAGAACAGAGGGGCTTAGTGTATTTGTAATCCAGAGCTTATACGCTGAATGTCACTGGTTTCTGACAACATACAGGCAAGAATTTTTCAGAATAATCGTTGCCAACCCTCTTACCCCAAGCAACACTGGAAATGCCTTCCTTCATTCAGTTGGTCCTCCTCAGCAACTTCTGCAAAGGGTTAAACATGCTACTGTGTGCCTATTGAGTTGATGAGACACGGGAACCCTAAAAAAGTGGTTGGAGGACTGGGGTTGCAAGGTAAAAAGTGGAAATGAGCAGTCTGGTTGGGGCCCAATGTTTGGCACAGCAGAGACGTTACAGTTATTGATGGCGTTTCTGAACAAAATAGAACTGTGGGATCCTTCATTTCCTTTTCTTCAGAAAGCATTTTGATTAGTCTGCAAAGCAAACTGTGTGCTGCAAGCTGAGGGGTGGGTCTAGAAGCTTTCATTCTGCTGGGAGTATGTGGGGAACCCCAGGGTGGAGGTCTTTTTTGACTGTCAATCCCAGAATTTTTCCTGAGTGTCCCTTTCTGAAAGAATTCTGATGCCTCCCAGGGATAGCTGTCCTGCAGAGCCAGCATCAGCCCTCACCTGGGACTCTTCCAGGCTAACTACCAACCAGAAAACGATGCTATCCAGTGAACTCTTGCTCTGACAATAAAAAATTCTATCACTGGGTTAAAAAAAAAACAAACTATAAAATATGGCTACAATTCCTGATCGAGGTTTCACTATTGCCAAGATCACCCCCCCCCACGAGGGAACCAAGGACGAGTCAGAGTCTTCATATTTTCTTTTGATTCACAGATCACATCCCCTTTTTATTGCATAAAGTCTAACGAAATCTACTAATGAATAATTATTACTTCATAAGATAGAGAGGAGGAGGGAAGATCCGCCTGCAGGAGTGGAATGCTAATTTGACGGAGAAGGGCTGGCCAGGCAGGAGGTGGGGGGGGGTGTATAAAATAAAACCATTGCAATTTGCTCGCTGCAGCCCGCACAGTAATCTCATATCAGGCAGGGACTTTCCCCACCCCGTGTATTTATAATTTGAGAAGAGCACGGGATTCTAGACTCGGAGAAGCCCCCTCACGTTCACCGCGAGCTGGCATTTTAGTACAACAGGCTTGATTTCCCAGCCAGCTGCGGTGGATTCTCCCTGGAGCCCCTGAGGCTCCCGGCTGCCGGCCCAGTCAAGGCCGATTCCAGTGGGAGAGCAGTGGCCCAGCGCCGCGGGGGGTCCAGGGACCTCCTTCTCGCCCGCCCCTCCGCCCAGTTCCCCAACCCCCAGTGTCTCCATCACCCAGAAGCTCCTTACAAAAGGGGAATCCCTTTTCCTGTGTTTATTTGCGAAGAGGAGTCGGGCAAACAAACCGCCACCGAAAAGCTCCCCTAGACTTCTCTGGGTCCCAGCTGGGCAGTTCTGTTAATGGTCCGGCTTGGCTCCTTTGGATGTTGGAGATGTGGGGCGCTACTTTGTTAGATCCCTCACCCTACCCGCGGAGGTTTTCAGCAGATACAATTTAAATTTTGGTGAGTGCCTTTTAAAAAAAGAAAAGGAAAGAAACACACAATCCTACCCCTGGACTTAATTGACAAATGAGAAGACTCCCAGCTTCCGCCAACCGAGTGAGCAGCAGTGAGTCAAAATCTCTCTCTCTCTCTCTCTCTCTCTCTCTCTCTCTCTCTCTCTCTCTCTCTCTCTCTCTCTCTCTCTCTCTCTCTCTCCCCCCCTCTCCCCCCTCCCCCCTCTCTCTCTCTCCCTCTCCCTCTCTCCCTCTCCCCCTCTCCCCCCTCCCCTCTATTCTCTCCTCTCCATTTCTCTTCTCTTTCCCTTGCATCTCCATCAGGACATGTTAACCCTTTGCTTTTCATAGAAGTTGCTCGGTCTAGTCACCTTTAGGGGGTGGTGGGGCGGAGGGCACCTTCCACTTTAAGAGCGCTCCAATGACAGGCCCAACAAGCCCAGTGGGTACAGCTTCGAGAACCCACACTACTTTCCTGCCTCTCCAAGTGTCTGTAGTTGAAGGCTGATGAACGCTGGGTACTAGCAAACCCGAGGGCGGGCTAGGAGAGCCTGGGAGGAGGGACTCTCTTGGGGTGCGGTGGAGGGGGGGAGAAACAGTGAGAGGAGAGAGAGAGGAAAGAGGGAGAGAGAGGGACAGTCCAGTCACTGCTGTGTGAGTTAGATAACCATCAAAAACTAAAAAGAAAAAAATTTGTAGCGACCAGGCAAGGGGAAAAGGGGGAAAAAAAAAAAAAAAACCAAAAACGTGATTGTATGTGAGCGTCCCCGCTCTCCCTCTGCGGGAACCCAGAAACGCGATGCAGCACCCTCTGACGGGGGCCACCTGCGTGGCGCTCCCCAACGTGGGCATGTGTCCCCAGCTCTCCTGTGCCTTGACTTTCATGTACTTACAGCAGGTAAGACGCGCGGCTCTTTCTCGGTGGTGGCGGTGGTGGCTGACTGCTTCCCGGCTCCTCAAGACTGGGTACTGCTTCAGTGGGCTGAGTGTTGAGGGGGTTGGGGGGGGCTCATGTGCTGGGACCAGAGGAGGTGGGTGAGAGCCTCTGGTTCTCAGTGGAGCCAGAATGCTATTTTCATTCACCTGTCTGAATACTTTGAATGCTGATTTCCAGCCTAGGGGGACCGGGGAATTTGAAATGGAAAACTGTCTTTTGCTCGAGAGCGTCTTTTCTTATATTGGAGGTCCCAGAGGCGATGGGAGACACCTTTGATGCTGAGAGTTCGTGAATTTGTGAAGGCATCCAGATGCCTGCAGTTTTAATTAAGCTGTTTTAATATGGAGTTAAACAAAGTGTGTGTGTGGGGGGGTGTATGTGGGGTGTGTGTGTGATCTTTGTTAAGTTTGTCTGTGATGTGTGTTCCACAAGATTCAGAACCTGTTTAGATTTCTCCTACACAATCTGCTTTCAAACTGCCCAGCAATGCTGTGAGAAGGTGAGCTTGGTCTTACATTGTCTTTGTTGGTCTGGGTAAAAGGGGGTTTTATTTGCTTGTTTGGTTGTTTATTCCTGGCCTGCCCAATCCCTCCCTCAGCTCCGTGGTGGTGCTGCGATGCCTATTGGCTTTATCCCTATCCAGTCCACATTTGAGAAGATTTGGATGAGGTCCTTTCAGTGTCTCCCTGGGCCCCTCTGGATCTCAGTGGCTTTCCCTCTTACTAGAAAGGTTCTGCCTAATATACTACTCCAGGGCTTTAGAAACCAACCCCCTAGTGCCACCCTGTTCTTTGGCTGACTAGCTCTGTTATGGGGCAGGGTCTTTGACTGGGACTTGGCAAGATTACAAAGGTTTTTCCTGCTGGTGGGAATCCACCTGCCCCCAGGAGTCCCCATCCTGTCCCCTGAAGTTTGCATGATGGTGATCATTTTGCTTGCCTTCCCATGAATTCACTTAAAAGGTATCATCGGTTAACGTGTGTGTTAACCAAACTTCCTTTGCAAGAGTTCAGAAGGGCCTCTTTCCCCCAAGATGTTCCACTCCAATCTGTGTTACAGGGATATATGTCCTCATGAAATGTCAGGATTCTAGTTTGAACATTTGGGTAATTTGTTATCAACTTGATTGCCTCCGGAAAATATTTTTTACAAGTATTTTCTCTTGCAAGTCTTTCTTGAACAAATTAGTTTGGCTTATGTTTTTAAGTATTTGTTTTATTTCATCTCTCATTTAGTAAATCATGCCAGGAACCATCTCTCAGGAATATAACGATAACATATGATTCATCAGCTCCTACCATCTCTTTGCCTCCCCTGCAAATGTGTGTGAATGCCTGTGTGTTTTACATCAATCCCCCACCACAATAGCAGCCTGGTAGGAATGTCTTCAGATGGATTGAAGCCTCAGCTGGATTGAATCAAATCATTAGTGTAAGTGGATCCTTTTTTTTCCTCTCATTTTATTTGTGAATCAGTTGGAACAATGTTACTTAAGTACAATGTTACGAGTGCTCAGTGATTTCTCAATTTCCGTGTGTGTGTGTGTGTATGTGTGTGTGAATTCATCTGTGTTTCTGCCTTTTCCATCATTAAACTGGTTTGTCATTTGGGAACTACTTAGCGAAGAAGGCAGTGACTTAAGGAGAGGTTATTCTTGCTGTGAAAAGGAGGAGTGGGGAAGTGCAAGGCTTCCCCACTCTGGAAAACACCTGCTGTGGAAGGGCGCCTCACAGGAAGTGTGGCAGCCATAACAAATATTTAGAAGTGACTAAATCAACAGCACAGTTCCCTGGGAAGGTAGATGGAGGCTGGGTTTGATATGAGGTTTCCATACATCCTCCCCTTGAAAGAACTTGAGGTGTTTCAGTGAAAGTGATTATAACACCGTACAGTGACACAGGGCCAGAACAGGATGTGTGTGAGAGAGATGTCTTCTACCCAGCTGCACTAAATTCCTGAACTATAAGATAGGCAGACATTTATGTTTGCATGTCTTATTTGCAATCAAGTTTTTTAACCATCACCCTCCCCCATTGCAAAGACTCACTATCAGAGTAGGAGACCTGTGCTTTGGGTCATCTCTTCTGGCCTTTTACTGCCGTAATAGCGTGTGCCCAGGTTTCATGGTACTGTTTTTATTTAGCAGTTCAGAGAATTGGCTGATTGGGAGTGGGAGACAATTCCTTTTAATCTTCCTATGCTTTTCACCAGTATAGACTGTACATCTTCCTGTGTGTCACCACCGTAATTTTAACTTGCCATTAATCTATAACTAGTATTACATCCCATGTAGTGTGATGAATAGAGAGCTCATTCATACTTTGAATGTATGAGTGATCAAACATAGAATCAGGCACCATTTACCCTTAGCAATACCTTCATTTGAATCATTTTATTTTACATCTAGAAAAAGGCATGTGTCAGAAATCACTGCCATGCCAGTCACTAGTTACATAAGAAAATAATAAAAATTCACCCATTTTATTTTGAAACAGTTCTCATTTTGCTTTGTCAATGTGCACATTCTCATAGCGTATGGACTACTGACTCTTCACTAGAATATATTATCTCAGAATGAAGTTTCAGACAAGAGTTATTTCCTATCCAGTATTCAAGGAAAAGGACTTTGTTATATGCTATGTTTACCTCGCTATGGACAGCCCACCTTCATTCCTAAAATCTCTCAAGAGTCCTCCTTAAGACAACTCATAAAATACAAAAATCAATCAGGATACTTCAGCCTGGGAGTCTAGTCTGAGGGCTCACATGAAAACAACAGAAACCTTTTGCCACAAATAGCTTATTCATTAAGGCCAGCGAGGAGGCAACTTCCCTGTCTGCATTCTTTGTCTTGTTCTCCATCATTTGTTTCTATTTCCCAGTAACTTTCCTTCAGGTAGATGTTTTCCAGCAGTTATGATTTCTTTTATTTCCCCTGTCTTTTTCTCCCTCTCCTCTCTTTTCTAACATCCAAGACATTACTATCCTTTGGAGCTGTGAGATGGGATAAAGATAAGTTACCCTTTTGACATCTTGATGCTGGAGCCAGTGATGTCATCAGTTTCACTTACACATACATGCTTATCAACCCCTGGTACATAGCCTGCATTTGTGGTAGGAGTCCACTTTGAGAAGGGACAAGGTTGCTGGAGTCATCGGTTTTTCATCCTGATCTCAAGGCCAAGCCCCTGCCTCAGCCTCCAGTCTTGATGCACAGTCGTGACCGTTTGATGGTGGCATCTTCCTACAACTCAACTTCAAGATTGTGTATCTCCCCAGGGTGAAATCTTTCTAGAGTTCCTAAGTGGATACTCATTTGCTTTGAGGCAAAATTCTGAATTATAATTCCAAATTTGGAGCATATTATTGATGAGATCAAAGGAGGCTCTGTTTTGTGTTCTCTAATAGAGAACACTGCAAAACAGTGTGCACACAGACACAGAATGCCCGTATATCACAGGGAGCAAATGCAGGCCATCTCTTTCTTGAGAAGGGATACTGAGACTACAGACAGGACAGACACTGTGGTTTGTTTTATGATGAAGGCTTGATGCTCCAGTCCTCTGGAACTGTGTTTTGTACTGAGTTTCAACTCCATGAAGATCAGTAGCTTATTAACTTCCTTTTACTTCTTCCTCCAACACCCTCAGTGTCTCCCAGTTCCTTTCTATGAAGGCTTCTCATCCGTCAAGTCCTGTTCACTCCCAGCCTTTTAATCAGCCTAAATGTAACAACAAATCAAATACTTAAAATCCACATTAAAGAGGGGGAAAGAGAGGGCCTCTAAACTGGCCCATGCCACTGTCAATATGTGAAGATGGGTCATTTTTCCCCACCTAATGGTGATGCATGAGGTTTGTTTTAAATAGTGAAGTGGTTTGTACAAAGGGTAATTCCTGGTAAATGAAGCCATTGCTCATGGTGGACACCTTCAGATCGAAAGCAATTGAACTGAAACCCGCACATCAGCCCTTTCTGTCTTTAATTAGAAAGTGCTGCTCAGTGTGGAGGCTCACGCGGGAAGAAAGGCTTTCTTACTGAGGCTGGCCAGGGCGGGGCGGGGGGCAGGGGTATGGCCTCTATGCATCAGCCGTGGTTATAAATTTGGAAAACATTAGGTAAGCCATAACAATTATGGCTGCATGGGAAAGTTCAATTCTCATCGGAGTTACTTACCTTGTGTCTCGGACTGATGATTTACGGAGGGGACAAATGGCATTTTATCACATTCTTTCTTCTTGGCTTAATCCCTTGCTGATTTATTAGATAGTGCTGTGGATTGAGGGTAGTCAATAGTGTCAATAATGCGGGAAAGAATTAGGATAGATTATCTTCATGTCTGAATTGTTTAATGGAATCTAAGTGGCCAGAATGAGCACATTTCTAGGCCTGGGTACCTGGCTGATAGGAGACATGTCTGCCTGCTTCTTTCCTAAGACATTGGCTGCCATAAATTGCTTAATTAATCCTGCTGGCTTTTCTGATCTTTTCTCCCTAACCATTGGAGAGAAGGTATGCATGATTGGACTGTCCTGAACTAAGTGAGGCCATATCCAGTAGACTGGGGTGCTTCATTGCACCCCGTCCCCATGGAGAGAGGAGGGTAGTGTTGGCGTGAAATTAGCTTCGATCCCCCCGTTAACTACAGGGTTGCTTCGGTTGCCTCTGCGTTAAAGCTTCATAAAACATTGTTCATTTATGGATACCATAATGCATCTGTCTGTCCTCAGACAGGAGTCTCTTGTGCCATGCGGCTCTCCGCCTGCCATTTCGTGGTAGGTTGTGTGTCAGAACGCACAGCCAGCAGCTCTTCCTGTGCCAGAGTGGAGAAAGCCCATGTCATTAATGCTCACGCACCATCTGTTTTCCTTACGGCCGGCCCTTGAGTGATTGTCCAGTAGCTGATGTGCTGAGGGTAGACAATTGTTTTTAGGGGGTTCTGATTCATTTCACCAGGCTTT